ACTCTAGAAAAGTGGATCTCTTACTAAGTAGATCCAGCTCTAGAAAAGTGGATCTGACTCTTGCAAAGTACATCCAATTGCACAAAAGAGGATCTGACTCCAGTACAGTGGATCCAACTCCATCAAAGAGGTTCCAATCCTAATAGAGGGAGTCTAGTCCAACATAGATCTACCCGTACTTCCGGAGATCATGTTCAGTTGCTCCCCTTTCACCCTGAGGTAGATCTTCTTGAGCAGCTCCTGCGAGATGTCCGAGTGGCCTTCGTACGCGAGAGCATCCCGGATGAAGGTCAGGGTGGCCTCGACGTCCTTCCTGAGACAAGCACGGGCAATGCTCTTAACGTCAGTGGAGTCATAGAGAGACCTCTCCTTCTCTTGCTCCAGAAGCTTATTTAGCCTCTCTAAAGCTTCCTGCATGATCACCTTCTGAATGATGCTCAGCGTGCCATCGTTCGACAGCCGGTACATCCTCTTGCTGATGACTTTCATGAGCGTGATGTTCTCGCTCTCGGAGAAGATCTTCATGGCGCCCTGGCCACACTGCTGCAGATCAGAGGCTTTCTCATACAGGACTCTGATTGGGTACCTGAGTTCGCCCATCTTCTCTCCGTTCCGGTCCAGGATCTTCAACACGTCCAAGACTTCTTCTGACGTGACGTGACTTGAAGTCCCCAAAGCCTGGGATGTCGTTGGGGAGTTGAAAAATTCCATGAAACTCTGCTGATTGAGGGTCTCAAACGCTCTCAGTGATGGAGCTTTTGAGGTTCCAATGTTACCTTTCAGAGAAGTTTTCTGCTCACTGCTTGGATAGTCTCTGCCCCTCACTTTATAGTTCATTTCTTCCCGCCGGTGGAGTCTTTCTGATGAGCCTGAACTTTCCCGCTCTAGTGGACTGTGTAAGAAATGACTGCTACTACTACCTTCAGACAACAGAGATGATGTTCCCAGTGTCTGAGAGACAGCTGGCGAATTAAGTCTTGGATAGCGGACTGGAGCCTCAGAGGTCCTACGAGTTGGAGGCTCCAATGCACTGGTTCTGTGAGGTTCTTTTCTGTCAGGATTTAAAAGGTTCATCACTGTGGTCTCGTAATCAGTAGTAGTTTCTGGCATCGTTAGCTGGAACATGTCTATGGAGTTACTGCTTTCCTTCCCAAGAGAGAGACTATCTTTCCTTCTTCTTTCACCAGAGTGACTATCTTTCCTTCTTCTTTCACCAGAGTGTAATAAATCTGACTCCCTCTCTTTCAAAGATCTGTCAAATGACTCCTGGCTTCTGGCAGAAGGGGCGCTGGTGCTAACGAAAGCTGAAGTACTCTGAGCCTTTGGGCTTGTTCCTTGGAAGATCTTGGCCAAGAAATCCGTCACTTCTGTTGGTTGATTATTAAATATTTCTTGGAGTTTCTTGCTATCGAACTTAGTATCGTCTAAACCTGGCTTTACCTTAGTACGGTTATAAAGATCGAAGTCTGCGCTATTTTCCTTTCTAGCTGGTTCCTCTAATGGACGTTCACGACTGCTGCCGCTTGCTTCATGGACTCTGTGCATCCTAGCTGCAGTTTCCATACCATCACCTCTTCTTACCACGTCTGGTAAGGAGTGATGGCCGTCTTCAGCAAGACTAGAATGTCGAGGGAAGCCTTCAGCAACAAAGTCCATATTTCCTTTGCTGCCACAATCACCCAAGGATGCTACAGTGTCGAAATTCCTTCCGCTATTGGACTTACCCGTTTCCAGAGATCCCTTCCTCTTGACTGACTTCTTATCCTCCCGTGATTCTCTGTCTGCCTTTACTCTCCTCTTCTTGGACACTCGTTTCTTCTTGGCCTTTCCCCTCTTCCGCTTGCGCTTACTCGATTCCTCAAACTCAGATCCCAAATCATCTGAGGAATCACACGAGGACGAGGACGAAGACGACGAAGAAGACGACGAAGACGACGACGAGGACGAAGACGAGGACAAAGCGGGGCGAAGGAGTGCCAAACACTCCATCTTCTTCTTCTTCCAACTCTCGCAGAAGATCTCCTCCATGCGCCCCGGCCAGAAGCTTCCCCAGTCTTCCGTCAGGTCGTAGGTGCAAGGGTCGCCGCCGAGGAGGATCACTTGATGGGCTTTCCGTTCGTAGAAAGCCCTATACTCCTTTCCATAGTCCGGGTGCGCCTGGGGCTGCTGCCTGTACATATCGCACTCGCGCGTGTGGATCTGGTAGAGTGACTTGACTGCATCTCTAGCCATTGGATCCTTCTCCTCCGGACTCAAGGAGCGTTGGGGGGGATGAGGCCTTTGGCTTCTTCCGGAGCTGAAACAGATTCATTGCATCGCGCCATTAGCTGATCTAGATCGGATATTTCCTGACAGGAGGAGTGATAGGAAGGATGAAAGGAAGGATGAAAGGAAGAAAGGAAAGGAGAAGAGAGAGGGAGAGAAGGAGAGAGAGAGGAGAGAGGAGAGAGGAGAGAGGGAGAGAGGGAGAGAGGAGAGAGGGAGGAAGGAGAGAGGGAGGGAAGGAGAGAGGGAGGGAGGAGAGAGGGAGGAAGGAGAGAGGGAGGGAAGGAGAGAGGGAGGGAAGGAGAGAGGGAGGGAAGGAGAGAGGGAGGGGAGGGAGAGGAGAGAGAGAGAGAGGAGAGAGAGAGAGAGAGAGAGAGAGAGAGAGAGAGAGAGAGAGAGAGAGAGAGAGAGAGAGAGAGAGAGAGGGAGAGAGAAGAGGGAGAGAGGGAGAGAGGGAGAGAGGGAGAGGAGAAGGAGGGAGGGGAGGAAGGGGAGGGGGAGGGGAGGGGGAGGGGGAGGGGGGAGGAGGGGAAGAGGGGAGCGAGAGGAAGGGAGAGGAGAGGGAGAGAGGAGAGAAGAGAGAGAGAGAAGAGAGAAGAGAGAGAGAGAAGAGAGAGAGAGAGAGAGGGAGAGAGAGGGAGAGAGAGGGAGAGAGAGAGGGAGAGGGTAGGAGAGAGGGAGAGAGGGAGAGAGGGAGAGAGGGTAGGAGAGAGGGAGAGAGGGAGAGAGCGAGTAGAGGACAGAGAGCGAGGGTAGGACAGATGGGAGGGAGGAAAGGAAGGAGAGAGAGGGAAGGAGAACAGATGGGAGGCAGGAAAGGAAGGAGATAGAGGGAAAGAGAGAAAGAAAGACAGAGAAACTTAATGAGATGGAATAACAACCATGTAAATATAGGAATGCCTGTTGAGAAAGAATGAATGAATATGTGTGTGTTTGTGAATGGATGATTGAGTGATGACATAAGACTTACCTTTTAGAGGTGAAAGGGCTTCTTGAGCTCCTGGAGTTCTGTCGCTCATTGGATATGATTGATTTGGACCTGTTCGCTGGATAGTTCCTTGCCTCTGGACTAAAACCCTCTGCTCCTGTGATTCCATGGGACTTGTTGTGTCCTGGTGTCTCTCTGGTCTGCGACTGGGCTCCTACGCCTCCGGTGTGGACTGTGGCTTCTCTCCTCGCTCCTCTGGGCCCACTGCTCCGGGGGGGTGGTGCTCCTTCTCCGTCCACCCCTGCTTCGATCCCTGTTTAAAGGAAACTGGCTGAAACTGGGTCTCCAACCATCCCTTCTTGGAGAAGCTGGACGACGACTGAAACTGCTACTTATCTCAGGGCTACGCCTATCCCTCTCTCCAAATCTTGTGTGGGCATAACTGTGTGTGTGTCCTGAGCGTGGTCTGTAACGACTAGGGTCACCGATGGGGCTAGGACTCCTATCCCTGCTACCTCTTGACCTGTAAGAGTCCTTCATCTCCAAAATGCCCATCACTGACCGTCTGAACTGTCGTGCAGCAGCTCTCACCCCAACATGCTCATGAAAAGGGCTCATGCTCTTGTCCTCAGTGAATGGCCTCCTGCCGCTGCTGTTGTTACTTCTGAACCTGAAAGACCTATCCTCATCCTCTCGTCTGGTTTCTCTTTTGCTCTCTGGGCTGACTTGTCTGTGGAACCCAGATCTCTTGTCTCCTTTCTGAAACAGTGGAGACTGAGAACGAGTGGGAGGCACCCCAGCTTTTTTTGCTTTTTGGCTGTCAATGTTTTGGATACTCAAGACAGTGGAATATGCCAAACAAGCTTCCATTATCCGTAAAACCGAGTTCCTGGTTAGGTGAACTCCATCATAGAGAATTGACTTTGGAATGCGCTTGGGAGGCTTTGAGACTTCGTCCTCTGAGCTGCCACAGACTATGTTACAGAAGTCCCACAGTGGCAGCTTCTTAGCTTGAGATTCTACACGTATTGCTTTGTTGACCTCATTAATAACGTCTCTGAGCTTACTTAGTTCTTCTGAAGAACCAGAGATACTTTCCTGTGACTTGCCCTCTTTGCTAGGTTCTGAGTTTTCTTCCAAATATGATAACAAATCTACATGGCATATAGTAGCAAAGACAACATCACAGCCTTCATAATGTTTCTTCAATTGATCTTTAAAATTTCTCATGTTATCCAGCATTTCTTTGCTTACTTCTTCTGTTGACCTTCCCTTGAAAAGAAACTCTACCTTCGCTTCAGGATTTCCCGTGAGCTTAACTAGATCGTACAGCCCAAAGCTTATCACAATCAACGACTGTTTGAACACTGGGAGCTCTGGCAAAGATCCAGGACAAGAGAGCTTGATACTTCCTTCCTCTTTGGCCATCACTTTGAAATTCAAGTACGTAAAGTCACTGGTCCACTTCTCCAAGTCATTTATCCTCCAGTCCTGTAACAGAACAATCTTGTGATATCGTGCCTGGGAGTGTTTCAAAATGATGTCCCTTAGGTGTGGAACCATCAATGCTTTTACGGCTTCCACTGACGGGTTCAAGCCATCTCCAAGGTGCTTCTCGATCGTGGTAGGGTTGGGAAATATTTGGGACTTGAGGAGGTTCCACTCGATCTTTTGCTTTGTGTAATCTACGTTGACTCCGTTCAAGATGAGTCGATTGAAAGAGAACAGGAACTGGCAGATATCCATGCTTTGCACCTCACTGTTGGCCATGTACTCACTGTCCAATTCATGCTGGCCATTCGACTTGTGTGCTTTCACCTGCACCTCCCGGAATGACCCCAGGCTGACAGGTAGGATGGATGTGAACGTGACGCGGACATTTCCCGACGATGACTCAAGTGCCTTCTTCACCAACTTCATCTGCTTGAGCAAATTGTTATGGGCTTTACAGACTTCATCAACCTCATATAGTTTTATCTTCATCGTTATGTTCTTGACAGCCTCGTGCCCTCCGGCCTCCTTGCAAGGCTTGTAATCCTCAAAATCAATGATCTCGTAGATGCCTAAGCTGCACAGGATCAATGTCTCCTGCTGGGGTGCCAGGCTGATGAGGTCCTCAATGAGTTTCTGGAGCTCATTTAAACACAGGAACGGACGACTTACAATGTCCACCTTCATGTGCTTATCCTCCAAAACCCAGAGTTTGTCCAAAAGCTCAATCCGTGAATCTCCGACGATGATCACTCGGCTGAATCTCCTGCTGGATGCCATGGCCTCCTGTGGGAAATAAGTAGATGAATAAATAAATAAACACAAAAAAATCATAAATCTTTTTTTTTTTTACACAAACAATTACTTTACCATCAATGCGAGAATGAAATGTATTTGTGGTAAACCCTTTCTCATAAATGCATTTGGATGTGAATAAATATAGTTGCAGTGATATATACTTATATCTAATGTGGTTGTATATATCATATACACTTTTCAAGTAATTTCATTAACCAAACAGACGTAATTTCACAAGGATTTTCTAGTACTTGTGATGCAAACCTTTACTCTACATACAGAAAAAATATAAACAAAATTGTAAATCATAATATTCAAACATGAGAAGTACCAGTAACAGCATTTAAACAAGAAATCTGACAAACCTTTGAAGTTTCCAAAAACTTTTGAAATTCCTCGTCCTCAATGCCTCTCTCCGCTATGTTCTCCTTCCTCGGCCTCTTCCTACTTTTGGGGTCTTCCACTTCCTCTCGTTCCCTCTTTGACGCAGGAACTTTCTTCTCCTTGTTGCTCTTGCTGGTGTTTTTGTTGTTGGTATTTTTGTTGTTGATGTTTTTGCTGTTGATGTTTTTGCTGTTGATGTTTTTGCTGTTGTTGTTTTTGCTGTTGTTGTTGTTGTTTTTGCTGTTGATGTTTTTAATGTTGCTGCCCTTCGTGGGCTTATTCTTGCTTTCTTCTCTATTTGCTTGTGCCTGTTTTTTCTTGGAAGCAATGTCTTTGGAAGTCACAGCCTCCTTCTTTACTGTGGCCGCTTCTGTGGCTTTGCCGGAAGAGGTACTGTTGTTATTGCTTTTTGCAGCACCTTTATTCTCCTCTTTGGAGTTCTTGTGACTCATAAGCTTGGTCCAATTACCTGTTCCTTGTTTTTTGCCAACTGCTTTCCCCTTGTTTTTGAGGTTTTTGTTCCATTCCTCTCCTCCCTTCTGCTGGCCACTCTGGGGTTTGCCAGATCCTTGAACTTTCACTCTGTTGGTCACTGCCAGTGGTGTTTGCTGGGGTGCCTTGGCATCCAAACTGTCTTTTGCATTGCCACTTGATTTACACTTTGCTCTTACCACCTGACTCAATGACTCGTTTGCATTGTTCTCTGGTCTTTCTGTTTGTTCCTTAGGCTTTTGATTGCTGTCTTTCTTCTCCTGTCCATCCTTTGATTCTTTCTCATCTTTTCTGTCATGGTTCTTGTTTTGCTCTTTGCTTTGGTTTTTCTCTTCTGCACATTCCCCTGCTCCCTTCGCCTCTACCCCTTCCAAGGTAGTCTCCCCCACAACACATTCCTGTAATGCATCTTTCTCCTCACTCTTATTATTGCTTGTTGGTTGAAATAATGTTGCAGTGCCTTTTGTCTGGCAAGACAGGGCCACATTCTGACTTTCCTCTGTTGCAGGTTTTTCATCTGCGTCATCAGGTTTACTGTCAGGTAAGCCAGAGGTGTGCAACATTTCAGAGCCCTCTTCCTCTTTATTGGCTGACACACTCACCTGATCTGAGATGCCATCTTGCAAGGCTGAACTTTCCTCTGCATGTGAAATTTTCACTTTGTCTGTTTCCCCTTTTGAAATATTTGTATTTACAAAACCCCCCTCCCTCGTTCCTTCACAATTTTCTAGCACTATATCACTTCTACTTGGAGTTCTTTCTTCTCTTTGTAAGCCTGTTAAAGTGGTCACCTCACTTATACCCTCTTTGCTGTCCTCTTTTCCCTTGGATCTGCACAGTGCCTCACTCTCCTTGGGGGATTCAGACCCATGTCCTTCACTAGGCGACTGGTTTTCACCACACCCAGGGATACCTTCTGTTCCAGTCGTACTAACGTTCACCTCACTGCTCCTGTCCCTTTCTGTTACGGTCTCTTTCTCACATCTGGTGGGGCTTTTTCCACTGTTCCCTTCTTCTCTTTGATCTTCCCCTCCACCTGCCTTGGGGCTTTGCGACCCATTAGCTTCCCAGGACATGGGTGGGTTGCTCTCACTCTCCTCGACCACATCAGTCTCAATCATCTCATCCAGAATGATGAATTCCTCTGCATCAATGTCCATTCTGATGCCTTCCCACATACCACTTTCACAGTCTACGCTCATGCCATCATTTGTTTCCTTCTCGTCATTAGTATCGGCAGCACTGCAGTCCTTGGGAGTGTCCCCATCCTTAGCCTCCTTCGCTAATATACCTCCCCCAACCCCCACTAACCCCTCCTTTGCCTCCTCCTCCTCCTCCTCATGCACATCCTTCCCCAACTCCATCTCTAAGGGCAAAGGATGAAAAGTATTTGCCGATTCCTACACCGTGACGCACGCCTCCCCCCTCGACCCTCCCCCACCCTAATTCACAACCAATCTATCCCTCACGGGGCTATCTCTAAATCTCATTATCCACCGAAATAAACACATACTGACCAAACCTATATAAATCATAGGGATACACTGCCCAACTACGTCTCGCAAACACTTATACCGACATCACTGCTCTGGCCGCTCTGACTGGGCGTGTTGACTTGCCCGCAGGATTAACAAGAAGAGGTCCGTGCCGCCATCCTTTTCTGCTCTCATTTTCCCAGGAACCACTTCTGCGTCTGTTGAATTGGGAGTGGGATTAGTGATATAATATGAATAATTGTATTGCTAATCAATAAATATAAGAACATGAAAAATAACAAATGAAATAATAATAATGAAAATAACAAAAAAAAATTTGTAATTCAATGACAGTAATATGAAAACAATAAAAAATTGAGCAATTACATAATGATAATACAGAAGCATAATAACAATAAAATTAATAATAATAATAATAATAATAATAATAATAATAATAATAATAATAATAATAATAATCACAACAAAAAGACAATATGAACAATTACAATAAATATACAATACAAGTAATAATTTTTAGAATATAAATTCATATTAAATTACCTGCCTGTCAGCTTTCCAATAAAACATTCCACTAAAATGGTTTTTAATTAAATTGTACTCTGATGGTAAAAACATAAAATATTTACCTGTAACAATGACAACGACAATGATGTTATTCCTGATAAAAAAGATGACAATAGTAATGATGAATTTCCAAGTTCAAACCGTACGTCAAACTGTTGAAAAATTAGTATCTCTTCTCTGTCTGCCTTCAGTAAAAATATATCACAATGTACTTACAAACCTTTAAACGCAATCTTACTTGCAATCTGAATACATCAATCGGTCCGAGTAGATAAACATGAGGTAAACAAGCCTAGTTTAATCGCGAAACATATGAACGGATAATAAAAAAAGTGTACAAGGGGATTTTTTACAGCTGTGCGAAACTGGACATCCACAAAACTTCTCTCTCCTAGCCTCATGTGTCGACAAATGGTACCTGACGGAAATGAACTTAAAGTACCAAAAATGGTGAGATATATGTCTTTAAATGCTCTTTCCAAGGAGGCATCTACTTCTAGATTATATGCATATTGTATCATTCTTGAATATTAGTGTTGACAGCCAATATAAATATATATATATATATATATATATATATATATATATATATATATTATATATATATATATATATATATATATATATATATATATATATATATATATATATATATATATATATAATATATATATATATATATATATATATATATATATTATATATATATATATATATATATATATATATATATATATATATATATATATATATATATATATATATATACATACTTATCAATATATAAAGAAAGCAAAACCATATAAAAGATAAAAAAAAAAACATATATATATATATATATATATATATATATATATATATATATATATATATATATATATATATATATATATATATATATATATATATATATATATATATACTTTCGATAAACTTACCTATTCAAAATATCTCTCAGAATGGCATATACTGCCACGATAATACAGTGCGTATGCGTGTGTGTTTGGATCCATAAACGCACTCACGCAGGTCCAGCTGTGGGCTACTTAAATCTCCAAATGACACATTAAAGCCAGTCAAGTCCAACAGTCTGTGGAAATTGACTCAAATTAGCACCACAGTACTTGAGTGAGTGAGTGTGTGAGTGAGCGTGAGAATGAGTGTGAGTGAGTGAGTGAGTGAGTGAGTGAGTGAGTGAGTGAGTAAGTGAGTGTGTGAATGAGCGTGAGAATGAGTGTGAGTGAGTGAGTGTGAGTGAGTGAGTGAGTGTGAGTGAATGTGTGAGAGAGTGAGAGAGTGAGTGAGTGTCTGAATGAGTGTGAGAATGAGTGTGATTGATTGAGTGAGTGAGTGAGTGAGTGAGTGAGTGAGTGAGTGAATGAGTGTATGAGTAAGTGAATGAGTGAGCAAGTGAGTGAGCAAGTGAGTGAGTGAGTGAGTGAGTGAGTGAGTGAGTGAGTGAGTGAGTGAGTGAGTGAGTGAGTGAGTGAGTGAGTAAGGTGTGTGCTTGTGTTTGTGTGTGTGTGCATCTGTGCAAGTGTATGTGTGTGTACATGTGCATGTGCATTTGTCTAGATAAGCACAAGTGTTTGTATGCTTGTGTGGCACATGTACATGTGCCTGTGAACAACTCCGTGTACATGGCTATTTGTGCAGGTCAATGAAATGGTTCATACAAGGCAACTACAGTAAAAGTTAAGAAATAGGAGTATTTTCAGATACAATGCAATGAGTCACAATTGTGGGAAAATTATGCTGTTATATGGAAGAAAAAATATAGGATATTACAATGGTCCTCAATATAATTCATATATGTTCCATGCCAATGACATGAATATATGTACATGAAAAATACCTGCAATATTTGGAGAGACAGAGAGAGAAAATCTTAGTCCTGGAAAAAAAATAAAAAATAAAATAAAAGAAAAGAAAAGAAAAAAGAAAGAAAGAAAAAAAAATGCAGGAGATTTTGAGGAATGCCTGTATGAATACAACCATGATCATCTGAAACTAAATTTATCTTTTACATGATCTTAGAGAATGATCCCACATTATCATCTGAGTTCAGGAAGAACAACAATAACTTTTGGATTAAAAAAAATAAATAAATAAAAATAAATAAATAAATCTTCATCATCATCAGAGAAAACAGAGACTAACACATTTTTTCAGATAGTTAAGCTTTTGTGCAAAACGCCATTGAAAGTTTGCCTCCACACACGGGACAAACTCACACCCCACCAAGAAAAGAACTGCATTATTCGTGTGGCAAGAACATCGGACAAGGCTACAGATAATGCTGAAAAAACATAAATATGGACATTCGACAAGAAGCCATGAAACGAAACATGAACACAAGTGTCTGAATTACCTCCTGACCAAATACAGATACAGACACATCTTGCTCAAACAGTGATTGGTTGGCAGAGTGTGTGATTATGGTGCTAGTTCAATAGTGGCTAACTAGTTCCAATCATCACCAAAGTCAAAGCCGGGCTGCTGAAGTCACTGTACAAATCATGAACACAAATCACGAAACTTAAAATTTTCTTCATTCATAATACCATATGGAAGTTAAATATATCCACAGACAAGATTATCAAATCAAATCTAGTAACAGGATTGTAAAAATGATAGATAAAGTAATGTTGGAAAATGAATGTCTTCACAACACAAAAGATGTTTCATATATATCTTACGACAAAGATACATTCAAAACTGGTTAAATACATCTCTTGATTTTGAAGATATTCATTCTCAACTGTATCTTTTCTACATTTGTCACAATGAATATAATTCAAAGTAACAGTAATGATAATACTTAATAACAACAACAATCATAATCAATCTGTGCAGCAGGAGCCACACAAGGCCCTTGCAAGTGTTGAATCTAGCTCCAGTACTGTACATCTGTCTGAACCATTGCTGCTAGTTGTAATATTCATAAAGTCAAAGTTAAAATGTTGCTAAAGCTATTGGTATTTTATGGTTGTACTGTATGGAAGTCCTATAAAGAACCTTCCAATTTTCCTTATGACTAACAAAGGGGACATCTGAATGAAGATTCTCAGACCAACTTAGGATAAAGTGAACATAATCACAAAGCAATTAACTTTGCTTCAACACTGACAGGTGTGCAGTTCAAGAGATTGCTTAATGTTAAACAACTTTAATTGTCAACTCTCACTGAACTTCAATATAATGTACAAAATGGAGAGCTTTTGAGATCTTCCAGCAGTTAATATATCCATGGCACTACAGTGAGTTATCCATATCATTTTATTCAACTTTCCACACACATTTCCTGGTATACTTTTAACCCTATCCAACTCTAGTGGTAAAGTCATTCCTATAGTTAGATCCTCTGGACTAACATAACTATATCTGAGTAGCTGGTGTCATGAGCTAAACTCTAAACTGACACTAAATTTGCTAGTAAATGCAATACAGAACTTTTCTGAGGAATTACCAAAAAGGAATCAAATTAATCCATTCACATCGGGTGGCCTAATTTTCTTGCCAAGATGCACAGAGCCCATATGCAGGACAGCAATCATAAATATTTGCTCTATGGTGTAAGGTACTAAACAGCTGTTCACTTGTTTACCCTGACTAAGTCACTGAGGAGATACAGTCCTCCATAATAGGCTTAGTATGGTATAGGGTAGTTCCCAGACATTCAGTTCATTGTGAGTCACACTTGCCAGACTCTGCTTCGCACATGGAATTTCTTTGGTGTGCACAGCCTCTATATCATATGAACATCTTTCCGACATATGGAGTCACTTATAAGATAGGGAACGCATTCAGTTTGTTAAGAAGGGGAATGAGGAAGCATTAAAATTCCTTAACTGACTGTTCCTTAGTTGGTATGAAATTGCGAAATATTAGGATAGTGGTGAAAGTTCATGTCGTTTTGCCACAACACCTTACAAAGTTTCAAATGAGCATCCCCACACATATTTACCATTCACAAAAACAATCGCCAATGCAAACTTTGCAAAGTTACCATTCTGGCAAGCTTGAGTGCGCGGTAAACACAGTGCGTGGTAAACAGGCACTTCCACAACATTCCGTGACCAACAAATAAGAAAGGGAGAACTGCAGGGTGAAAACAGAAAAGAGTGCCACCAGTTTCTAGTTTCGGGAAAATACATCTCTCCCATGCTACTAATTTCTCACTACCACAACTGATAGTATGCAAAGCCTATTGCGAGGTAGAACCATCATCATAGGATTAAGGAACTCCTCCAGGTGTATGGGAATAAAATGAAAAAAATAAAAAAATAAAAATAAATAAATGAGGCAAAAACAAATAAAGTAAAATGTAAAAGAAATCCAACAAAAAAGTTTATGGAAATAAAACAACAAAATTCACCACACAGATGAGCCCTGACTTCTTCTCTAGACCCAATAAAAATACCCCGAGGCTAGTCAGAGACAAACACAAGCCACCAGACTGTAAAGTTTGGTCTGCATTAGAAACACGTTCCCCGTGCAACAATTTCTGACTTGTTTTCTATCTATCCTTTTTGTAGCTTATTTCCACACAGATTTCTCTAGCAGTTCACTGGCTTACCTGTGTGTATCTTATGAAGGCTCGAGCTTTTCACTTCTGCGCACAATGGAGGTCTTTGCCATGTGCTGAAAATCCACTAACAAATATTTTGTGAAAAATTATTTTTACATGCATATTTTTTACATTAAAACTAGGATTCGCTACGCATTGAAAAAATTTACAGTCTGGACTAGCTGTACACTAGTTTGCAAAAAAACTGCAACTGTAATTCTAAAATTAAGATCAGAGAGAATAGAAGAAAAGAAAGAAAATTATCACTGACAAAATGTTATAAAACAACATAAAAATGACAAGAACAACAACAATAATAATAAGGTAATTATTCTTGAGTGTGACACTCCCTCCTGAGACAAAGTCCCAAAACCAAAGTATCATGCGAACCCAAACACCCAACCTAATCATTCCTACCTTCTATTTATTTCCTAGGCAGGGAAGCAAGCCCCCCTGTAACCACCCACTTTATTAGCACTTCATGCCAACATATGGACTTCGTCTTTGAGCGGTCATATGCTTCAAATATTTTCGTCCTTTCACAGTAAATAAGACGTCGCTGCAGCATAAACTGCGTTTCCAACTCTATTTCTTACGCTCTATAACATGGCGATGTCCATTTCTCTCTATCTCCAAGCGTTGCTCTCAGTACCTTATACCTAAATAATAATAATAATAATAATAATAATAATAATAATAATAATAATAATAATAATAATAATAATAATAATAATAATAATAATAATAATAACAATAACAATAAATAATGAGAAAATTCTGTATACAACCTAAGAATGAAGTGGTGATTACCATGATCACTCCTACTGTTCTTACTAATATCATCATTACAGTTATCACAAGCATCAGACTCTAATTACCCTCATTACCAAAGCCATTAATGACAAACAACACCAAAGTAAACAAACACAATCCGAGTCCTAAATCTGGCTCTTGTATACCTTCCCTAAACCTCTTTTCTTCTCTAATCTCACCTCTTCTCCTCTTCTTCTCCCTTTCTTTCCCCTCTTCTCCTCCTCTCCGGCGTTCCTTCCATCCACCTCAGGCCATCCAGTCAACAAAAATAACAACAAGACTCCGTAAAGTGGTATTTCGTGGACTAAATGTGTAATGTTTGTGTCGTAAATCTCTAGCGTCGCTTCTGCACAGGAATTCTGTTGGGGTGTTTGGCCCGGTTTCCCTTGATTATTTATTTATTCCTTTATTTTTTTTCTATTTACATTTGAGACAATTTCTTGGTATGTTATTATTACCGTTGTTATCAGTTTCATTAACGTTATTATCATCATAGATATCATCATTATCACCAACATTATTAGCATAGAAATTATCATTATCATTAACGTTATTATTATCATACATGTTATCATTATTATCATCATTATCGTTATTGTTATTATTTTTACCTCCGCCAAAGTAATGTTTATAGTACCATTGGTTACTTTGTTTGTTGGTTAGCAGGATAACTCAAAAAGTTATGAATATCACAACTGCCATTAAATTTTGGTGGTAATCAGGATCATGATCAAAATCGATGAATTTTTGAATAATTGCATCAGTTACCCCTGATACCAAGGCGATAGGGGTAACTATTATTATCATCAGCATTGAGCTACGGGGACAACTTATTGGTGCTTGAATTATCATTATCATTTTGTCTTGACAAAAGTATGTGCTCTCCAAGTGCTTCTAGTTATTATTATTATTATTATTATTATTATCATTATCATTATCATTATCATTATCATTATTATTATCATTATCATCATCATCATCATCATCATCATCATCATTATCATCATCATCATCATCATCATCATCATCATTATTATTATAATTGTCATTATTATTATTATCATTATCATTATTAGAATTTTAATGTAAGTATTTTCATTATCATCCGCATTATCACCTTAGTTGTTGTTATTATTATTATTATCATTATTACCATACTTATCATTTTTAGTATTATTTTTGCTAGTGTTATTATTATTGTCATTATTATTATTATCATTATTATCATTATAATTTCTTTATTATTATCATTATCATTATCAATATCATTATTATCATCATTACCATTGTTGTTATTATCATTATCATCAATTAATGTCATTGTTATTATTATCTTTACTATTATATTATCATTACTATCATCACTATCATTGTTACTATTATCATTATTACCATCATCATTATTATAATTTAATAGTATCATCACTTTTCTTATTATTATTTCAAATATCATTATCATTATTATAATTATTAATAATATCATTGTCTTCATCACCATCATTATCATTTTTTGCCGTCTATGGTAATAATAACAATTTTGATAATTCTAATTAGGAACTAGAAACTCACAGTAATGTCAATTACTTACATAGATGCCTGTCTGTGATTGGCTGCCCATGGTATTGACCGACCAGAGCCAGACGCCTATTGGTCACTCAACTGATTCAAAAAGTTGGAATATGAGTTTGTTGGCTAACGGAAACCGACGTGTGGGGGGGGGGAACATCTGTGAAATTGCTGCACAGTTGTTGTATCCGTCTGATGAAGAACCACTGACTAGTTCGAAATGTTAGGATTTAATTTCCTTTTTCTTATTGTGGTTGTTTTTTCTATTTCATGTTGTGTTGTGGAAAGCGAGGAGTGAAGTTAGGTTTGTTTGTGAAGGCGGGTCAGTGTGGCGGCCTGTGTTAAATGTATTTTGGGCCCATAACTGTACAACCTGTTACACTAGAATGTCACGATTTAATTTCCTTTACTTATGGTTATTTTTTTTATTCATGTTGTAGACGTGTTGTCGTGGACTCAAGTTAGGTTTGTTTGTGAAGGCGGGTCAGCGTGGCGGCCTACATACGTGGGAAAGGGCTGTATTAAATGTATTTTGGGACCATAAATGCACAACCTGTTATATTAGAATGTTACGATTTAATTTCATTTTATTATTGTTTTCCTTTTCATGTTGTGTTGTGGAAAACGAGGAGTGAAATCAGGTTTGCTTGTGAATGCGACTCAGTGTGGTGGCCTACATGCCTAAAAGGGAAAGGCTAGATCAGTAGCAACTCCAGGAGGTGTCATGAAGTCTGTTTTGATGCTTGTTCAATGGAAATACAACCATTAAAATAATTATTTTCCATCCTTTTTGAAAACGAAAAGACCAAAATTGATCGACCATATTCACAAAGCATCCGTAACTTTTGTGACGTCATCAAAATAAACCCATGTTTTTTTTTTTAAGTAGAATCAGACACCATGACGCCGCCTCCTCGAGTTACTACTGATCTAGCCTCCCCCCAAAGGACAGGGCTGTGTTACATGCAATTTTAAGCCCCTTAATCCACAACCTACAGAAAAAACAACAACAAAAAAACATTAGATTGTGACCCCTAAGCTGAAGGTGACTCGGACAAAAGTTCAAAGCGGTTGTGTTAAGACAGACATCTGTATGACAGCTGTACAATACCTTGTTCTTTGTACATTGTTGTTTGTGTTCAGCAATGACAGAGTAAGATAGAGTAAGAGTCATACGATTTTTGATAACATGTCAGTCGTGTGGTTGTGTAAGACGATTAACAATCACTAAATTTATGAACAATTGAATACATAAACAACTGAATTTTTGTACACATGGAAAAATTAATAATTCGAAAATAAAAGAGATTGTTAGATATGTTTTGTTTCCTCATGAAAAGCGTCGGGAGCAAATAGAATAGATTATCTTCCACGTGTCTTTCTTCCTTTCTCATTTGCTTTTGCGCGTAAATTGTTAATAAATCCATTGTATTTTGCTGTTGTATTTACGTTTATATTGTTAATATATGTGTTACGTGTATATTGTCAATAAATCCATTGTATTTTGTCGTTCTATTTACGTTTATATTGCTTAATATACAAACGTGTACATTGTTAATAACTCCATTGTATTTTTGCCGTTGTATTTATGTTTATATTGTTGATATATGCGTTACGTGTACATTGTTATTAAATCCATTGTATTTTGCTGTTCTATTTACGGTTATATTGCTTAATATACAAACGTGTATATTGTCAATAAATCCATTGTATTTTGCCGTTGTATTTACGTTCTTTCACACCGTTGCTATGAGCGTGACGTCACGTGTAGCCAAGTGAGAGAACAGCTGGGTGAGAGAGGAGAGTGACCGGAAGTGTAGAAATAAAAATAAGTGATGGTAAAAATGATGATAATGATAATGGTGGTGATGATAACAATGATGATAGTGATGATATGATAATATAATGGTAATAATGATAATGATAATGCTAGTAATAATTATATAATAATGGTAGTAATAATCGATAATGATAAAATAATATGATAATGATAATTATGATAATAATGATATTCATGTAATTATTATCATTGTCTTTATTATTATTGCTATTATTATCATCATTGTTATTATCATTATTATTGTTATTATTAATATTATTGTAATTATCATTACAATAATATCAATAATATATTATCATTACTCGAATCATTATTATTATTGTTATGGTTATCATTATTATTGGTATTATATTATTACTATTATTAATATCATTATTATTGTCCATTAATAGTATTACTATTATCATTATTATTATCATCATCATTATTGCTATTATCATTGTTTTCCTCATAATAGTCATCATTACTATTACTGCTACTACTTTTATTATAATCATTGTTATATCTTTATTATCATTTTATTGTTATCATCATTAAAGTTATTATTATTATTATCATCACTATTGCTATTGCTGTTATTGTTATTATTATTATCATCATCATTGTTATCATTACTATCATTATATTATCATTACCATATTCACATATCTGTTTGTCATTCCCCTTTGTTATATATATATTTCTTCTTCTTCTTCTTCTTTTTCTTCTCATTCAATATTTCCCTTTCTTGTTCTTTCTTAATCTTTTCTCATAAGAATTTTGAAGCAAATGCGACATCAGATTCGTCAGTAGATGTGAACGAAGCTTAGTGTAGTGAATTGTGTTCTTTGTAGAAAAGATGTGAACGAGAATGGATATCTTCACAATACAAGAGATGTATTTGAGCGGTTTCTGATACATCTTCGTCAGAAATTAATGTATTTCCGGTGGAGATGTATTCGAAACCGGTTTAGATACATCTCTTGTATTGTGAAGATATTCATTCTCATTTATACCCTTTTTCTATCTCTGTCTGTTTCTCTTTGTCTGCCTATCTATGTCTATTTCTGTTTATCTGCCTATGTGTGTTTATTTCTGTTTATCTATGTCTGTTTCTCTTTGTCTGCCTATCTATGTCTATTTCTGTTTATCTGCCTATGTGTGTTTATTTCTGTTTATCTGTATTTGTGCCTGTGTCTGTTTCTGTATATTTGTCTAACTCCATCTATATGTCTATCTGTCTATCTCTGTCTGTCTATGTATGTTTCTGTCTGTTTGTCAATCTCTACCTATTTTTGTCTATTTCTCCATCATTATGTATATATTTCTATTTTTCCATCTACATACATCTGTGTCTGTCTATCTGTATCTATTTATCTATCTATTTTTTTTTCTATTTACCATTTATTTTCGTGTTTTTTCGTCTTCTTCATCTTCATTCTCTCTCCTCCCTTTACTAAACACAAAGAATATGATAAAAGGAACATAACAAAAAATACCATGAAATAAATACGTTTATTGCTGTGGGATTTCATATTTTTTCGCATATATTTTCATTAGAAAAATAACACTTGTACATCAACTAGAATTCTTTACAAACAAAAGACTAACGCGAACGCACACAAAAGCGCGCACATGCATACATACACACATACGTACATAGCATACAAGTGTACACAGCCACATTTAAAAACATCATTAACGATTAGTTTACATTATTGTGTAAGTTATCAATCGTATTTTTTAAACTACATTTCATAGACTATTTATACATATGTCTCCTCTATGTTAATTTTATATATTTTTTATCAACTTTTCTATATCATCAAAACAAAAAGAAGTAAATTTTGTACACTAATATACACATTATTTTTTTTTTTCTATTTCACAATAATATTCGTATTTCAGATATTTTTGTTTTAATCAAATACAATTAATTACTGT